CCCCAAAACCCCAAAACCCCAAAACCCCAAAACCCCGCTAAGACACAAACTGGTAGAATAAATCTTATTGATTACCATCTTGTAGTCATAACCTGTGGCATTGGTCCACTGAAGACCTTGATGTTGTGAATATCTCCGTTCTTTCCTCCTTGAATGACTCCAACACAGTCTCCTTCTGGGATCTCAAGATCGAAGTCGTCTCCTTCGTCACCTCCGCAGACAATCTCTCTGCCCTTGTTTGTCTTGAAGGTTAAGCTAGTAACAACGTTGGAGAGCTTTCCGCTGATTCCAGTGATGAACTCATCAACTGTCAAATTGATCATTGTTGTCTGCATTTCCTCTTCGTTGTAGTCGAAGGAAGCCTTGTGCTTCTCACCATAATGATAAGTTCCGTCGATCTCGTAGATGACCTGGATTCCCTTAATTCTATCAGCATGGTAAACCTTAACAGTATCGATTCTGTAGGTGTGAGCATTGAAATCAATTCCTTCATCTCTGAACTCAGTAGTATCTCCATGAGTGTTTCCGTGGAAGGCTTCATTTGGCCATCTCTCGTCAGCTGGGATATAGTAAACCTGACCCTGACTTTGAGAAGCGACATGGATCTTTCCATACCAAGCTTGGATATTATGAAGATGTCCGTTCTTGCCTCCAGTTAAGGCTCCAACAGCATGACCTGGTGGAATTCCAAGATCAAAATCTTCTCCTTCATCACCACCGTATTCGTGAGTCTCTCCAGTGTTGAGCTGGAAGCAAAGCTTCTTGATTTGAGCTTCTACTTTACCATACACTCTGGTGATATATTGCCCATACTTGAGACTGAAAGACGCCTTGTCTCCATCAGAAACCCAGCCATCATATTCACTACCTCTGTGTTTCTCTCCTTCAACTTCTTCTTCATTGACGCTCCACTTGAGTCTGAACCCGTAGACGACTTTGCCCTCATCAAAGTAGACGACGACCTTCCTAAGACGAGTGTTGATAATGCTAGTGTCGAGCTTGTCCCAGTCGTCAAAAGCATTAGTGTCGCCATGGGTGGGGCCTACAACATCTGTGCTTTGTTGAAGCAAAGAATATTGCACATTAGCTTGAGGCTGCTGCTCAAATTTAAAGATATATGGCTCCTTGCCATAGTAAGCAGTGAGGTTATGAAGATGACCACCAATTCCGAAAGACAATCCAGAGATGACTTGTCCCTCAGGGATCTCGAAGTTGAAGTTAGGCTCCTTCTCCAGGTTTCCGAACTTCTCAGTTCTTCCCTTCGTAGTCTCGATGACCAGAAGATCACAGATATTTCCGAAATATCCATAAATGTTGGTGATCCATTCATCAGCAGCGAAGTTGATTTTCTTGAACTTATGATCATCATTGGTCCAATCGCCACCGACTCCTTTAGTCTGGATCTCATTACCGTTCTCCAGGTACTTGACATCAAGCCCATGCACGAACTCATCGTCGTAGAAGACAGTCACAGATGCAATTCTGTGTTGTCCCTTAGTATTCTCTAGGAACTCAACGTCGTTGTATTCAGTAGTGTCATCATGGGTTTGCCCAGTGGAGATTTGGTTTGCAACTCTTTGCCCAGTGTTATAGGTGTATTGGTACTGCAATGGTTGAGCGAGAGGGATAGTATGACATCCAATGTTATGAAGGTGCCCTCCGTATCCTCCTTTAAGGACTCCGACACAAGTACCTTCAGGAATTTCAAGATCAAATGGATCTCCACCATCTGACAATCCGAATCTTATTTCTCTTCCTTGGTTAGTCTCAAAAACAACATGGTCAATGATATTTCCATGGTTTCCCTTGATTGCAGTGATGCTTTCGTTTCTGTTAAAGAAGACTTCCTCGTACTTAAGTTTCCAGGCTTCTGCTTCTTCATTGATCCTCTTTGGAGAAACAATCATCCCATTGTTGCTAGTTTCATAAATAGTCTGGATACCGTAGACAAAGTCATCATACCAGACTCTGATTCTAGTAAGTCTAACGTTCTGTCCACCAGTGACTAGTTCTAGATCATCGAACTCAACAGTGTCTCCATGAGTATTACCTCTTGTTCCAATATCAAAGAATTCAGTTTCGTCTTCCATATCTTAATTAATCTTTTTCCTAAAAATATTTTAAAGAAATCTTCCACAGCTATAAACCAATCAGGGGTTTTGGGGTTTTGGGGTTTTGGGGTTTTGGGGTTTTGGGGTTTTGGGG